CGAAGATAAAATATCTACCGCCAATGAAGAAAGAGAAAGGTAAAACGAGCGACAGGGGAAGGCATGATGAAATGAATGAACTCGTTGAGTACCGCTTTTGCATATTAATGGTTATACGTCGTTAGGGAAGAGGGCTATCATATCCCCGACACCCGGGGAAAACGACAAAAAAGAAACATTAACGCGCCCGCGGTTGTCTCCCCGATATACTAAAACAGCCCGCTAAATGTCGGGCTCAAGTACCCTCTGAACGCTCCACTCGATACCTGGATGACGTTCGTCGAGTATGAACGTTTGTACTTATCCATAAGAAGTTATTCAAAGGATTCTTAAATTCGCGCATAAAATATTCACTTGGAAATTTATATCACATAAAGTGATTAAAAAAATGTAAATAGGATTCTTCGATAGATAACGTGATAAATATACTTAATAACATAACAATAGTCCAAACAAAACAACATACTCTTTCAAAAAAAAAAAAAAAAAAAAAAAAAAAAATAAAATTTGAACATGTTAAAAGTAATTTTACGAATGTATATTAAAAAATAAAAATTTTTTTTACGTAATCGTTCTTCAAAATGATAAATCGTATATTTTAACGCACTCGATTTAAAAGAAATCGGAATTCGATTAGATACGCTAGAAATAAAATGTATTAATATTAAAATCTTGTGCAAACCCCACAATAAACATTATACTGATTTGTTCCGGAATTGCACAAGGTAATACCGTGCATTGCACTCTGATCGAGGAAAGTGGACGTGGCAAGCGATTCTGTCTGAATTACCTAAAGGACCGGGGAGGAGGAAGGACGTTACGAGAATGCAAACATATGGTAGCGATCGCTTGAGCAAGCAGAGGATGTAAATTTCAGCCCTCGCTTTGCTTCAAATCCCCCGGAACGTCGTTTCGATCTGATTATCGTTCACCCGTGTCGCTATAACAAAGTAAAAAAAAGGATGACACCGCGATCGAAAAGAGAAACAAAATAATCAATCGAGCTTAGTGCGCTGTAAAGTATTCAGAGCTGGGAGAGGGATTTTATTCTCTAAACGTCAATCCTACGCTATTACACGTTAACTTGAATTTCTCCAATCGATACGCAACAGGACGCAAAGTGCCAGTTGATTGCGAATAATGCATATTTTCCGAGCAGCATCTTCATTCTGCCAACGAGAAGGAGAGAAGAATCGTCAGAGGGTCGCTTCAGAAGTTGCGCGAAAAAGAATAAAACTCGGAACAAATGTTGGCAGTACATCTGTTGTTTACCCTGCGTCTTGTACTAAATAATTCTCGTTCGTTCGTATGGCTTCACGCCGCTCGGGAAGAAGACGAAGTTTTCATCCCCGATAAAAGTTCCTTCATACCTCTCGAAGCCACTTCTCCTCTTCCTCGACATACAACCGAGATCCGGCGCCTCCAATCTACGTATTTTAGGAACATGGACTTTTCCAGGAAATGTCAGAGATGACTCTCTGCCGCATTACGGTGAATAAGGGAAGTTATTATGGCAATACAACAAACTCTATGGATGGAGACAAAAGATCTGTAAGACTATCCGAGTGTTTGGTATACTTGTGAAATATGAGAAATCACATGACCATATCCGTACGCATTCATACAAAAGAAGAAGATTTTACAATAATATATACTTCATCACAGAGCTAAAACAAATAAAACATTTATGTTTAACTCTATGACAAAATTTTATCTTTTAAAAGTTTCGCTATATATATATATATATAACGTTAAGTAATTCATGAGACAAAAATGAGCGCACAGTGGCAAGAAAACCCAAAACTTTGATGAAACATGCTAGTTAAGCAAACTAACGTGTACAAATGGAATAGACGCAAAGGAAGAATCGTTCGTACAACCGTAGCATACAAATTTCGTCGCTGCTCCTCAGACGTTTCACCAAGACTTTTCAATTCCACCCTCATTCATCAAACCTTCGACTTCTCGAGGAGAAAAGAACACATAGGCTGACTATTCTCAAGCATCCATCACCATTCGGTCTAACAAGTTGGAGTCGAGCGTAGAGAAAAGAAAATACGCGCCGAAGTACAGCACATCTTCCTCCGCTCTCTATTCTCATACTTCGTACTGAGCGAGTCGATGAAACATATATTTTATATATGGCAGCAGCATCGTTTCTACTCGCAGACAGACATGAATAAGTAAAGCCTTCCGGTATACTACGAAATCTTCTCGATATTGATCGCGATTATTTATAAATGCTGTTGATGAAGTATCCCTGTCACGGATGACAAATAATCGTTTGTTCCTCTTTCGACCTCTCTGACCCCCTTTCTAACAAAGTTATCGTAAAGCTATTTTCTTCTCAAATCATTAATAAGTTCAAAGGACAGTTTAGAGCTTCGAAGAGCATCTAGATGTCCAAGTTGTCACCTGGAATGTACGAAAACATACTATATGATCAAAATTTTCAAGTCGTCTATTTTTATCCAAGTGCAGAATTTAGAAACAAAGAATACTTTTACGGAAAAACGGAGATGTCGCAGATTATTACTTCAACTATAAAACCGATTTTGATCATAGCGTTTTCACATTCCGGTTGACAACTTGAACATTTAAGTACTCTTCGAACAAACTGTCCTTCGAACTTGATAATAAACTCAATAATTTTAAAAGAAAATAGCTCATATGTATATGTATATATAGCAAAGAAATGATGATAACAATCATATGTAAACAATTGCGAAAATGCGTTATACAGATTAAACATTCCGATACTGTGGAATTTTCAAACGTAAGCTAAAAAAAACTTTTCTCGCGAAGCACTCGCCAATTTCCGCGATATGCTTTATTAACGAAGAACAGATACTCTGTATATGCAAAGCCATCAGGATATGGCTGAGTCGTGAAAGATACATCCGGACGCATAAAGTATGTGCCGAAACAACCGAAGTGGAAAAACAACTTCAATCATCGAAACCAATGCTTCGGATCAATTCGGATTCCGCGCCTCCGCGACAAAATTCATGCAATGCACCGATATACAAACACTTCTATTTGCAGATAATTTTTTTATATTGCTATGTCAAATCGTTCATATCAAAAAATGCGATTATCATTACGTATATATGACAACAATATATTGTATTTCATATTATAATCATAACACAAAATTATATCACAAAATAGTAACAAGTAATTAAAATAAAAAAAAATAATATACAATTTTTTTTGAAGGAAACTTTTGAACTTCGTTCTGGAGCTAGATTCTGTCCTCACGAGTGCTTTGAATTTTAAGAAAGGTTCTTCTTTGGCGTGTTTAA